TAGGAGTCGTGCTGACAGTTGGCGGGTTGTGATAGCACCTGTGGACGAGTTACGGGCGTGCCGTCCTGAGGCTGGTATCTTCACTTCTTCTTTCTCAGTGGCTGTTATCTTTACTTCAAGACTGCGAACTGCAACAAGATAGTCTCTTCAGCATGATAAACTACTTTGATTTGCACACTGTGTACTTTTCCTACTTTCGTAGGCCTAGGTAAAATGTACCGAGGATTCATTTCTATTTTTTCACCATAGGTGGCACTACAGAGCCATTTTCAGCACGACCGATAGGTGTGGGCAATTTGGTGAGTTTTCGTGCATGTTTATGTTCCCAAAAATACACTTCATTTATGCTAGGAAAATTTAAAGGAATGATCAAAATAATTTCCCCCAAAATAAGAGGGACCTCACTCCTACCCCCCAAAAAAGTTGCCCATTCATATTAAGTGAATCACAGAAAACACGTTTAAAAAAATCAAAGTAATTATGGTAAGTCAAAAAGGTCTTTCTTTTAAAATGCCACTGTTGTAAATGCAATTCCAATAAAGTGGCAAAACCGCATGTCATTTTTATTCTAAGCAGGGTTGTCGGTATCTGCTGAATATATAAGTGAATTAGCTTGTAATCTAACTCTGTTACTTTGAAAATCAAGTAATTAGTAAAGTAACTCCGTTCCTTTTTAAGCAAGCAATCAACAAAGTAACTCACGTTACTTTTTCAAGGTTGATGTGGCAACACTGGCAATAACAATGCCTAGTTTACTCTCCTTATTGTGTCAGGGAAGAATTAACAGGGGAGGCGAACAACTGATGGCAGGACTGAAGGTCAAAGGGCAAAATTACCTCCATTGTGTTCCTTCACAGGAAAATAGGATTTAGACCAAATAACGAATCATGGTGGGAGCACATAGTTTGAAATTGTGGTGGCTCAAATTTATGTCTGCACTAGAGGGTTCTCTTCAGGTACTCTACCCTCCCAAAACATGCATGTTAAGTTCAACGCAGACTTCAAATTTTAAGTGTGAATGGTTGTCTGTCTCTATGTATCACTCGTTTGATTGACTGTCCAAGGTCCACTCTCCCTCTCAACCTAAATCAGCTGGGAGAGTGTCAAGTCACCCGCAGGATACGCAATAGAGAAATTGGAAAGATGGATTCAATCCGGTGCCCTGTCAGGCCTCTGATGAGTGTACAAGGCCACTGATGGATAACATGCATGCCCGCATGACGGGCCTCTCATTCCCAGAGAAGCCATTTGCAGAGGCGCTGTATTCCATCACAAGGGCTATATTAGAGTGTCTATCCTGCAGTAGGTGAGGTGAGGACACCAGCAACGATGGCTAAGTTCATGTTGCAGCTCAATTCCATTTTTTTTTTTTTTGCCTATATACTACGCATGTCTGACTTTTTTCATGCTGTGTGAAGAGCACAATAATGATTTTTTTTTTTTTTCAAATCCGACCTGGGTCTCTTTCATATGTGGATGTAAATCGGACACTCTGTCTGGGATGTGTCTGCAGAATAAACGCTCATCCGCACACACCCAACCGACGTCGTTAAAAGCCCAATACAGTGGAAACTCCTCTACAACGAAACCTACATGGGCGAAAATACCCCCTAATGTGAAAAAATGTTCATGCATTAACACCATTCCCACATTTCTGCTCCCCATACAACGAAAAAAAAAACTGTTGCGTTATACGAAATCTTTTTCTCTGCTCTTGCCTCGCGATGAGATTCACTACAACGAAGTCTAATCCAACAGCAACCTATACTGCTTCGTTCGGAAACGGCAACAGCAACCACCACACTGGTTTACACATGCGCAGTAGTCCAGGAAGTATTTGTTATTGTTCGTTTCAGATGCAGCAAGAACGTTGCATTGCTAAAATGGCTACAAAACGGACCTTTGAATGTCAAGCAGCTAAGACAAGAAGAGCTCTGACACTGGAAGAGAGGGTAAAAGTGATCAAAATGAAAGACGGAGGAAACAAAATAAAAGACATTATCCAAGAAATTGATGTAAGTGAAAGTGAATGCTGATCGAAAATTTCGCAATTTCTTTCCCTTTTTTTCTTTCTACACTGACTATATGAAGTGTCAAATAAGTGTATGCTCATACTTATGCACTATTGGAATAAAAATAAAGAGTACACATATACGTTTTTTGTGTGCGTTTGTGTTTACGTTTAAGATAACATTTACAATAGTGAAAAGTCCCCTGTAGTGAAAAATTTCTGCGTGCAATCATGATTTCGGTGTAGAGGAGTTTTACTGTGGTAAGCTTTTAGTGTGAGTAAAATAACGTTTGTATTTTCATACAGCTTCCAAACATGATTTCGTTGTAGAGGAGTTTCACTGTATGCACTTTGCTCGGCCGGGGGAAGGGTGCTTGGGAGGGGAGACGACTGACAGTAGATGAATATGCAAAGTTGTTTTGAGTAACAATTTTGAATTTACTTTAATTATTTGAAACATTAATCATTTATAGTGGACGTGGTGATTGTAGTAATTGAGCCATGCAAATGGTTAATTTATTACACACGGCAGTGATGTGACGTCGTCTTTATATAAAGTCCATAAACAGCTTTATGAAACGAGGAGAACGAGGAGCGTTGCATCATATCCCCAAAATATTTCTACTTATTACCGCCTCGCTACTCTGGCGAATACAAATCGAAGCCGTACAGGTGGGACCATATTTACTTCTGTAAACTATGCGCTACATGACGTTTTTTTGGGTGGACGTCACTCAGCGTTGTGCATTGTGCGCATGCATGTCATATCGCTGATGTGTTGCGTTCCCACTATAGGTCGTATTTGTTTTTGTAACGTGAATGAATACTGTACACAAAAAGATGCGATTGAACTACTGGTTCAAAGCCAAATTGGGTAACATGCCCTGCAGTGTGCACATAGCTTAATTTGCACAATCAAACTGACCTTGAAAATCTGTGTTTGTCGCACCGTAGATGTTCACATGCATTAAAGAAAAGAGAACCTTTGCATTAAACCACTTTTAAAACGCATATCAATGACCAATTGACCATGTTCAACTTTTCAAAAGTTGCTTGGCCAAATACTGTATCGAATTGCATCATGTGCATGCAAACAAGATTTCACAGAGAAGGATGGCAAAATAAAAAAAAAACAAACAAAACTAAAGAATAAAAAACGGCGCCCCCTCGCAGCTACAGATCGATTTTCATTGTTCACTCCAAAAGAACCGTTCAAAAGAGTGACTCCTTCGTGAATGTCACCAGAATAATATTTCACGTGAATGCTGACATCTAAATTACTTCAATTAGTAAGTAAAACAAGACGATGGAATAGTTGATTGACTAATGAGCTGCTGATGGGTTGGAGAGAGTCACGGCCAGGCTGACGAGCTGAAAAGTCGGGCCATGCTCTCTGTGCACATACGCAGTGTTTTAATAGAGCTGAATTCATCATTAAGTTTTTCTCATTCACATATTTTCTCTTTCTGCTGCCGAACAATGGATCAACTATTACATATTGAGTGAAATGTGGCCCAGGAAGAATTCTGTTACCCATCGCTATCTCAAAGGCGTCGTCATGGTCGCTGCGGCTCTACTGAAGCCAGAGATGTTCTGTATTTCATCTCAGAGCGTACAGCCAACAGTGACGGACGGCAGACTCACTGGAGCTCTCTGTCACTCAACGGGGGAGACAGAGAGAGGGAGGAAAAAAACCAGTCCAGTTGCAGCGCTACAGCAACAAAGTCACCGGTTTTGCTGCCGCTTCTTTGGGGAAAAATAAATCCTTACTTGGGTCTGAAAAATCGGTAAATCGAGCAACAAAGTCATATGGAAACACTGGACAGTAGAAGTGTTCGAAGAGAGTATGCAACTCGTTTGGCGAGTACAGGGGTCAGCAACCTGCGGCTCTGGAGCCGCATATGCGGTTCTTTCATCCTACTGTTGCGGCTCTGCGTGGCTTGGGGAAATATTTTTTCATCATTTCAGATAGCAAAAAGTGTTTGTGGCTCCCAGTTTCGTCTTTTCCATGGAAACCAGGACGAAATGGCTCTTTAGGTGTGAAGGGTTGCTGACCCCTGGACTCGTGTCATCATTTGGGGCACTGCGCCCTCTGGAAGCACAGATTGAGCAGAAAACAATTAACCTCAATGTTTAAGGCAGCTAAAAAAAGACATACAGGACATCTGTTTCGGGTCACCCTCAAGGGAGAAATCAGGGGGAGGAAAAAATATTTTCCAGGACAATCATGCTTTTCCAGAATACTTTTTTTTTTCTCCTTTTCCATGTAATTTCCATGACTGTAAAATTGGTCAGTCATTTGAGGTTTTCCAAGATCTATGGGAACCCTGTATATGAGCTCTGATTTGTTGGTGACCAGTTCAGAATTTACACCGCCTTGTGCCCAGGGTCAACTGGGATAGGGTCCCGGTCACCCAAGACCCTTTTTGGAAAACTGATATGATAACTTGACATAAGCATATTTATGAAAGTTAGCTTTTTCCAAACATTTTCATGTGTAAAATATAGTTTCTCCCATTCACATTTAAATATTGTCATTTACTTCAATGTATCTTTTTATGTTCCGGAAAACAAAAATGTGTCAATTACATTAGAATACATATAGTCGATGTTCTGAATGCATTTGCTGTAAGACATTTAAGATGAGGAATACCATCAGTTTAAAATTACATTGAAAAAAATACATAGCAATGGTGTACTTAAAACATTTTTATTTCCAACCTTTACAGATATATCACTAGAGATTACTCAAAGACTAAAAAGTTGGGACACTGTACGTATTTGTAACAAGTACATTTTCTAGTTACATAATGCAAAAAAGTGTACAAGCATAAAAGCAAAAAAAAAAAAAAAACCAAACAAACAAAAACAAACAAACAAAAAAAACCCAAAACTGACAAACTGCCTGAATTTTATAACAAATATATCCGGCCAAAGGGAAACATTTTTTGACAGATGTACTGGTATTTTGTGGGGGAAAAGAAGTGCAACAAGGAGGTGGAGAGGTTACACTTTTGAGGAATAAAACAGTACCGTTCCATATGTACAGAGCCATTGCAATATTTCACACGGAAACAATGGGTTATCTAAAAAAGTTGTAATATTTCCAGGGCTAAAGGTGGACTGTATGAAGATTCATGGAGAAGCAATTTAACGTTAAAAGGAACTGAATCAAAGCATACAAATTGGTGATGTTTCTTTATACATGTAAATGTGAACATTCCTTTGTTTGAACTAAGAGAATACTGCATGATTCCACCAAAAATAGAGTAAAATCATTTGCAAACATCCAAAAACCTTCCCCATCAGCCCCAACCTTCCTCTTGGGGTTTTAAAAAAAAAAAGCCTTGGCAAGCAGTGTTTCCTGTTTTAAACCCCTCTCACCCACCAAATGTCTAAATAAGGTGGAATCGTGGTCCAGCAGTGGCGATGATGTCGCTGTAAGGCTCTTTCTGGGTGACTTCGATAGCTTGCTGCTTCTTGAGGACCAGGAAACTGTAGAACTTAGCGGCCGCCTGCTTCTTGTTGTTGTTCCGGCATAAATCAAGCAGGCTGACAGACTCTGCTCCGGTCTTTGCCATGACGCGCTGGAGGGATGATCGGAAGTTAGCCTAGTCATCATCACAACTTCGCGCAAGTAGAGGATACACCCATTGTATCCAAAATGAAAACGAGCATTGGGGTGTGCACAATAAACATGCTTTGACCAATCAAATTTAATTTGTTAAAAGGTTATAAAAATGACTTGAACTAGCCAAGAATGACTTTGTACCTGAAGGCCATGCAGCATCTGTTGAGTTCTCTTGTTCCATCGCTTCTCTTCCTGGTCCTGGTCTCCAGCCTGACCTTCTTCGTCCTGAATAAGACAACACAAAATGTACTGGTTGTTTTTTTTTCCTTCCTCTTTCGCATTTCATCGTAGTTTTACATGAAAAGCAAAACAAACAAACAAAAAAAAATCTAATCAATTTGTGTGTGGCATTTGAGTTATTGTATGGAGAGGATACAATACAGCTTCTCATTGAAGCAGAGTATTTTCCAGGACACAGGGACTTCTCATTGAGGTGATTTTTCTTTGGTCCGTTTCTTTTCCAATTCATTTGTTGATTTTCAAGGTGTGTATCGCCTCCATTGAAAATCAGCTGATAAAGATGTGTAACACACCATCATGTGACACTCTGAAGAAGCTGAAATACTTCCACTGAAATATATCAAGTAAATACCCCCCCCCCCGCATAAAACATAACCTGAGATCAAGGAACCAAGAAGTTCAATTATAAGTAAGTGAGAATGAAATTTATTCAGTTATTACGCAAAATTTATGGAGAGGCATCCGTCAAGGACTTTCGCCGCCTGGAAAAATGAACCAGGAAACGGGCACGCTACAGAAACCATCCAAGATTCAACCCGTGCTGCAGAGATGAGATCATACCGGCTTGTCTCAGCATCAAGAACCCGAGCCCAACCAGGAACGCAGAGTGGATGATAAAAGTGTCAAAGCGCCAGTACGGTGCACGAGTCAGTTTGACAACATCAACAGTGAATAATTTCAGGAGCAAATGGAACAGTTCAAAGATTGGGTTCCCCTCCACATGATAACAAAACTACATGGACAGTTACACAGCGTGCAATACACTAACAGGCATTTACCGTCACAAAAACCCGACACATCCGCAAACTGCACAGACTCATTGCACGGGAAAAGAAGACAGTATTGGACCATTCAAACATCAACGAAACAACGAAAAACGGATCCACAACATGTCAAGGTATAAACTCACACAAACAGAACGCAGCACACTCGCAAAAGGACTCAATGACGCCATCACACCCAGCCCCGTAATCACATGATGATTTCATTTTGGCAATGGAGCTAGCAGGTATTTTAAAAATGGCCAAACCACCACACAGCAATATTACGAAGGGGAAAACGAAGAAAAAACAAAAGATATCACAATTTTTCCAGCAGACAAAGGCAGAAAGGCAGTTATTATGGACACAGAACAAAACAAACAACAAATGCTACAGGCACTGGATGTCGACCCTTATGAGGTACTGAGAAAAAAAAAAAAAGATCCAACTGAAGACGAAAAATAAACTTAAGGCACGACTCAAACCACTCCTGAATGACAACAAAATAAACAGTCATGAATACAGCAAACATCAGTAACCACAGCCAACATCATCATCTCCAGGATCGGATCTAAGGCGCACCCAAAATACATAAACGTGGTACACTCCTGTAACAACCTAAAAACAAAAACCAGAAAACCCGTCTGAGATCAAGGAACCAACAAGTTGCCTGGACTCTGGTCACCGGGGCCGTCTACTTGAGCTAGGTTTGGAGGTGGGGCTTGTTGGCAAGTGCCTGGTGCACCAATAGGGCCTGGATGGGCTAAGCCTGAACAAGAAACGTGGGACCCACCACTTGTCGGAGGGGCCAAAGGAGTCGTGTGCTTTGTGTGGTGGTGCCAGTTCTCTCGTGGGGGGTTGGACTCTCTTCCACTCTGGAGATGCCCAAACCCCCTGACCCCCATCCACGCACATAACATGTACTGTATATCAGTTGAAAATTGTTATCTTTTAATATCGCGCATCACTAATTGAGAACTAAAACACCGCTGCTGTATGGCTAAAGCTAACCTTGAAACACGAACAGCACACACACGCTCTCTCATTCCCACACTCGTGAACAGAGTCATTCATGCATTAAAGAATTCAGAAACAGCAGCACTCCCCACCAAACAGAATTTCGCGTTTGCCAAAACTACTCAGTTGCAGCACATAAAACACATAGACCAGTTCATTCCAAGATACCACGTTACAGGTTACAGAAATCAAACAAAAACAATACGAGAGTTTATCTTATTTTTCTTTAGCACAATACCTTAGGTTAATTTTACGCAACTAAAACGGGTCCTCGAGTAATTCAGAAAAAAAAAAAAGTGCTGGAGGCACCCACTTGTCTACCGTATTTTCCGCACTACAGGGTGCACTAAAAAGTTTTCTTCAAAGCTCACCGCGCGCCTTAAAATCCGGTGCACCTTGTATATGGTCATTACGGTCATACGACCCCAAGAGGGCTCCTTGCTGGAGACATGCTTACAATGTTATAACTTGCTGTTGGTTGCTATTGGCCATTATTTGAAGGTGCGCCTCATAATCCAGTGCGCCTTTTAGTGCGGAAAATACAGTACCTGTACACTGTTAGGAAGAAGAAGTCAAGCTAAGCACAGTAACAATTGTTTGTGCAATACATGACAGTAACACGCCGCGAAGAACTTCAAAATAAATCTTTCCTTACCAAATAATAATAAATAGAGCGCTGCAAAGTTATTGACACCCACCCCTCCCGAAAACTGTTTGCTACACTATAATTACCTAAAGAACCCAGAAGATGGCAACAAATGACTATATTTGTCTAAATGACCCTCCTCAATTTGAGTGTGGAACAAAGATTCTACCATATGACACTAAAGCAATATTATAATTACTGTGGTGCATCGTGCACTCTATATAACTGCATACATTCATCTTCAAGTACTTCATAGTTTGAAGTTTGAACTTCATTGCTCAAGGAACCGTGCTGAAGTGAATTGAGGGGCTCCGTTTCAACAGAAGCATTGATATGCCGCCATCACGCGGCATCTTAGTGCCAGGAATCTATGTGGGAATGAGTCAAGGAGTTTCATATCGGAAAAAAAAGCATGGTTTGAATGGGATCCTCTATTGACTTTTATATTATTGCTAGCAATGTATTAAAAACAAACCATGTTTTCTATTTAAATGTACAATGGGTGTAATTATTTTTGTTGGGCATATAGATTGACAGTAAACTCCAAAAGCTTAAAGCATCATCGAATCAAACCACACGCTTGCGACATGGTGCATTCAGGGGGCATTCACAACGTTCGAAATGAAAACATTTTAAAGATCGAGAGAAGCCAGAATTGAAATTGTGATTGAAATTTCGACGAATAATCCAGCCCTACAACATCCACTAATTCCACCCACAAGCTTTGGAGAAGTATTTGCTACAATGGTACCGTATATTTGGTGATTTTTACCAGATTATTTGAATGTTACCAAACTCCATAGAACAACAACCAAAAAAAGTTAAAGAATGGCTCTTACACAGCTGCAAATAGATTCTCATTGTTCACCCCAAAAGAACAATTTGTTCTCCAACCTCCCATTAATAGAACGTCTCACAGTATTTTAGTTTAACTGAATTTCTAACGAAGTTTTTCTCATTGACATATTTTTTGCTTCTGTTGTCAGTCAATGGAGCAAGTACGAAATACTGAGTGAAACGTGGCCCAGTAAGACTTCCTGCTAGCCATCAAAATCTCGAAACAGTCAACATGTTTGCTGCGTATCAAATGAAACCAGAGATGCGTTTCATCTAAGAGCGCACAGCCAAAAGTGACGGCACACCCACTACAGCCTCTCTGTTACTCAACAGAGGAGACAAAGTGAGGAAGAAATAACACACTCTATATCCAGCAATACACTTCACATGAAAGTGGCCAGTTTTGGCACTTTGGGAAAAAAATTAATACTTATTTGGGTCTTAAAAGTCAGTAAATCTAACAACAAAATAATATGGAAACAATGGCCAAGAACCGTTCTCACAGAAGATGCAAATTGGTTGGTTGGTTGGTTGGTTGCTCCTGGAAGCAGAGATGAAGCAGAAAAGCACAACAGCTCAATGGTGCCCATTGAAGGCAGCTGAAAACAGGCATACATGTCTGTTTAACCTGTTTGCATTTACCCACAAGGCACAGAGAAGCAGAGGGAGGAAAAATAATTTTCCAAGACATTACATTTTTTTCCTTATTATCCATTATGGGAAAATTGGGTCATATTCCAGGTTTTACAGGAGGCATGGCAACACAGTATCACCTTCAATTTAAGATGCATCATCATTTACAAACATCCTTGGAACGCTGGTCCAATCTGCAAAGTTGAATAAACTATCATTTTTATTGTCGTTATCATTAATTTGCACACACCTTGAATAATTCAAGCTGTGCGCTCATGGTCATAGGGATGTCCCCATCTGATCATGTGATTTTCAGGTGATACAGCATTGGGTTTTAAAAAAGGCCCCAAAGCTAGAAAATAATCAAACTGTGCAAATACAACAGGCATAGCTTAGTTCTATATTTCATTGTTGCTTTTTTTTAAAAATAGCAATGCAGTGAGTGTGACACGCATACACCCACAGAGACGTCTCTGTTTCGTACAGCTCTCCTGTAGGCAGAGACAAAGCAGTGGGTTTGTCTTCATCGCTTGTTTGGAGGGAGAAGCAAGCCGAAAGATGTTCCTCAATAAATCTGCCTTGTCTGATATAAAGCCTCTTGCTAAGCAGCATTATCACAGAGTTGAGAGAACTGAGAGCGCGACAGACAAGTCAACGGTTGTGACACGTCCAAATGCCCTAACTTCAGACAGAGGTTTAACGAGTGTAAATTATTTGGTGACAAGCAAGTTTGTTCCCCACTGTTTGCATTTGACAAAGTCAAAAATCAATTGTGTTTATAGATGAGAGAAGTCACACACGTGCCCAACAACTACGTAGCTGTGTGGACTTGTCATTTTAGCCTGCGCAAGCCTATAAATAACAATGTAAATGTATTGTTTACCATTAGATAAAGCAAATGTATCAAACAGAGTTGTCCCTCACTGCAGAGTAATTTCTTCTATGGGCTATTCAACCAAATTGGTGCCATTTGCATGCCCGGGCAATTAGATGAAAATACATTTTTATAAAGCGTCCTGCACATTGATATGTATTGTGTTAAAGTTAACATTCAATTCTCATAAATGTCAGGGCTATAGTGCCTGTATTTGCTAATTTTATGCCAAAACCCCACAAGCTCTTAGAAGAACCAAGACACCTTGAAATGTTCAAAATGTGTTTCATCAAATTTAGTGCCTCGTGTAATAAAAACTATATATAAAATCTGAGTTTATTTTGCAACTATTACAAAGAGCAACTGGTCCATTTCCATATATACATGTACACACATATATATATATATATATATATAGTGCCTGTATTTGCTAATTTTATGCCAAAACCCCACAAGCTCTTAGAAGAACCAAGACACCTTGAAATGTTCAAAATGTGTTTCATCAAATTTAGTGCCTCGTGTAATAAAAACTATATATAAAATCTGAGTTTATTTTGCAACTATTACAAAGAGCAACTGGTCCATTTCCATATATACATGTACAC